GTATGGAGACCTTTAAAGTATAGCCGAGTGGCCGTGCGACACCGTATGGGTACAAGTAGTCCACGCGTGTGCACAGTGTTTTAAAATCTAATTTTAAGACAGAAATTCTAGTTCTACTTATATTATTTTTGGGCACCCGCTTTATAAGTAGACTGTCTTCCTTCCTGTGTCATCTAACTGAATGTTGCATCTAACTGAATGCAGAGTCCAACGTTGCAATTCATGTACTTTGTTCAGATGTAAGTCCATTTCTCACGCAAAGAGCGCACAGGACACCTCAGTCTCATATTAGAGGAAGTCGGTCAGTGATGTCAAGTGGCCTCCTCTAATCGTAACGCTTATAAAACATCGCAATTTCAACTATCCACCGTGGCCTCATTTCGCATGAAAGAAGCTGAATCAAGAAGCAGCTGATAAATGACACCTATTCAGACTGCAGTACAGATGACTCTGAAAGTGGCGAGGAAGTAAGGGGCTAGGCTTGAATGTTCTAGCAATGCGGGACTATTCCGGGAACAGTACCTCTGTGTGGCTAGTCTGAGATATACACAGTCAGAGTTTCTGAAGGACAAAGTACGATACGACTTCGCCCACACTTGTGCATACAGAAAGGTTCCAACGTGACTGGAGAATGTGCAATACAAACATAACCTTTCTCCCCTTTTGCCAGATAAAACATAGTAAGACAGGATGTCAGCAGCATGCATTTATACTGCAGAAACGTTTTGTGCAGAAACTGTATGCATATTTGTGGACAGATGCTAGCAATTGGGAAAAATTTTTTTTGGAATCAGTGTAACAATTTTTACAGACTTTAAAATCTGTAAATTACAATATCTGATTCTATATTCTTTCTAGATAAAAGCAGCGTTTATTTCGTTCGTTTATCACAAAAACTGTAGAAATCACAGCATTTTCAGTAACATGCTTACAATTTTAATACTCTACAATGGTGGACATTTAAATTAACTCCGGCCTGCTGCCATTATGGGAATTTAAATGGCCCCTCTTAAAGGTTATAAAGAAATGGTTAAAACCCTGTCATTAGACACCAAAAAGGGAACCTATATTACTAAAACAAAGGCTGATAATATAATATAAATAAATCCAAAAACTTCTGATACCTATAGAAAAGTAGTCCATCATCTGAGAGATGAACAAATCATTCATCATACATACCAGCTGAAGGAAGAAAGAGCCTTCAGGGCAGTTATACGAGGATTGCATCACACAATACCAACCTCTGAGATAAAAGATGAACTTGAAAAACAAGGCCATAAAGTAAGGAACATTACTAATGTTAAGCATTGAGTAAGTAAAGAACCACTCCCACTACACTTCGTTGATTTAGAACCCCAAAGAAATAATAAAGAAATATTCAATACAGAATTTTTACAACATATCAGAATTAAAGCTGAACCACCAAAAACTAAAAGAAGTATTGTACAGTGTACACGTTGCCAAGACTATGGCCATAGTAAAACATACTGCAGGAAACCCTACAATTGCGTAAAATGCGGAGGACCCCATGACACAAAAACTTACAGAAAACCCAACAACACTCCAGCAAAATGTGTACTGTGCAAAGGTGAATACCCAGCAAACTACAAGGGATGTACTGTATATCATGATTTGTTAAATATAAGATGCAAAAATAATGGACATCCAACAATTAGACAAAACACAACCACTGTAAATCCACCACAAGTACTAGACCAACAGCAAAATACTCATCAAAATGCTGCCTCATATGCACAAGTTCTAATAGGAATACCAAACAACAAATCAAATATAAATGATGTTGAACAATTATCTCAAAAACTGACTGACTTCCTTGCCGAATTCAAGAACATGTTTACCCAACTTTTAAACCAAAATAGTATGATTCTTACTAAGCTAACTACAGTAATAAATAAAATAGCAAAGTAATGGCTTCCTCAGTGAGAGTTGCTGCATGGAATGCCAAAAGATTAAAAACCCATGTGCTGGAAATTGAGTATTTCTTAAACGTCAACAAAATTGATATCCTATTAATCTTGGAAAGCCATGCAACCCTACAAACTGTAATAAAAATACTGTGACATGTTGCGCAAAGGAGAACCCCCCCACACCAGCAGTGACGCGGCGGGTGAGTCAGCACTCCCCTCCCCCTCCTCCGCACCGTAACGTTAACGGTGACGCAACAGGATTGTTACGGTAGTAANTCTGACTATTGCCACAGTATACAGTCCATCACACCACGCTGACCTATTGGCTGACTTAAACAAAATCCCGGATCTGTTGGACTTTGCTGTAACAAAAGGTATATCTGATTGCACTATTGAATCTAACCTTGATCTATCATCTGACCACAGTTCCATAATTATAACTATCAGTACACATGTAATATGGAAAAAGGAAATATCTAAGTTTTGCACTAGAGAAACTAACTGGGAGTTATTTTGAGATATATTAAATGAAGACATCAGGCTTGACCATCGAATGAAAGAGAATGATGAAATTGAAGAAGCTATACCATACCTAAAACAGAATATTCAAGATGCCTCGTGGAAAGCTACTCCCTCAATACGTAAAATGAAGCACAGAAAACAAAACAAACCACTCTACATCAGACAACTGATTTCAGAAAAAAGAAGAGATAGATGTATCTGGCAAAGAACCAGAAATCCGTTAGACAAGACAAACTTACATAGATTAAACCATAACCTCATGAGAGCTCTACAAGGGGGGGGGGAAGGAACGTTTACTCGTATATTATGCAGCTTTCCTCTGATGACCATTCTTTGTGGAAAGTAACAAAGTAATTTAAACAACCAGTCATATGCATCCCTCCTATAAGGAACACTGACAGGACATGGGCACATTCTAACACAGAAAAATTGGCAGCGTTTGCTGAACACTTAGTAAATGTTTTAGGTCCCCTTCAAAAGCAAAGTAACAATGGTGCTGACACTGAAGACTTCCTACATGCTCCCCACCAGTTATCACTTCCAATAAAAGCTTCCTCACCGACCAAAGTACTTCAAGAAATAAAACTATTAAATCCTCGCAAGGCACCTGGACATGATTTGATAGTCAGAGACATGCTGAAGATTCTACCATAAAAAAAAGTAATCTTAATGACCGCTATATACAATAGTATGTTGACTTGGATATTATTCAGTTGAAACTAGCACAAGTCATAATGGTAGCCAAATGTGGAAAGCCCCCAACTGAAACGAACTCTTATAGGCCGATAAGTCTACTACCAATAACGTCCAAAATTTTCCAAAAGCTCCTTCTTAAGAGAACTGAAGAAGCAATGCCACTAAATGAATTAATACCTGATCATCAATTTGGGTTCTGAAGAAAACACTCAACAATCCAGCAATGTCATCGAATTATCAAAAAAATTAAAACCAGTTTTGAAGGAAGAGAGTGCTGTGCTTCAGTATTTCTAGACGTACAACAAGCCTTTGACAAGGTCTGGCATGCAGGACTCATATACAAATTAAAAACATACTTACCTGAATGATTCTACAATTATTTTGAAATTTTATTTACATGATCGATATCCTCAAGTGAAATTAGACGATGACCTATCCGATTATAAACCTATAAAACCAGGAGTTCCACAAGGTAGCGTGCTTGAACCATTCCTCTACTTAATATTCACTGCTGACCTCCCACAAACTAACGATACCTTAATTGTCACATTTGCAGATGATACTGCTATATTAACATCAGATCTAGATCCTAGAAGAGCATCAGAAAAGCTGCAGTATCATCTCGATACTCTTTATATATGGTTACAACAATGTAAGATATTCGTTAATACCCCAAATCAGTCCAAATAACATTTACTACAAAGAAAAAGCAGATGTCCTCAGGTAAACATAAACAACGGCCCCATAACCAGTAAAAACAGAGGTCAAATACCTCGGACTCTACCTAGATGAGAACCTGACCTGGAAAACGCACATAAAAGCGAAGAGACACCAACTTGATCTAAAAATCAAAAATATGTACTGGCTACTAAACCATAAGTCCAAACTATCTCTAGAAAATAAACTAATCATTTACAAATACATATTTACACCAATTTGGACATATGGTATAGAACTATGGGGTTGTAATAAACCATCAAATACCAAAATACTCCAGCCATTCAATCCAAAACACTCCATACGATATCTGGAACACCATGGTATGTCTCTAACCAAACTTTACATGAAGACTTCAAAATACCATTAATACAAGATGTAATTAAGTCAAACATAAACAAATACAAAGATCAAACAACAGAGCATGTAAACCAACTCAGAAGTGACCTATTCACCCAACCCTTAGAAAAAAGAAGACTGAAGAAAATCTGGCCAGAAGACCTTCATGATGATGTGTGACCACATGGAGAACCATTAATGAATGGTTCTCCATGTGGAGAACAAGCCTTAAAATTTTAAACCATTTACTTAGTACTCCTATTGTTACTGTGGAGAAGATTGTAAAATTGCAAGAAAAAAATTACTCGGTCAGCAATTCACCATCTTTGAGCTGTTCATTTGCTAATACAGACATTTTTTTGCTATACTGAAATGAAATACAGCTATACAAAGCTTCTTAGATTCATATTTTTTTTAAATCTCCATATAGTACAGCATTAACACACGTTACCGATACCAATACTTCACACTCAAGGTTCAATTAAAAGTGTAATTCAATTCACAGACCACCTTAAACAAACTGATCATGCAAAATCATTTCCTGTAGATAGGAAGTAAATGTTGTTGCATTTGGTTGAGTGGAGGAGAGGGGAGGCTATTCACATGTGCATGTCAATGCACAGTGCTGTTGAACATGCCAGACTCTCCTCCTCTTTTCACAACTTGCAGCAGTTCAAGTATCCCTTATATTTGGGGGCTTTACACCTGTACTGGAATAATCTATAAATCTAAGGTAAAAAAAGGTAAAGTCCCTGTGCTTAATTAATTCATTAAGCACTAAGCCATGAAAACATATGGGGGAGTGGAGGTATAGCTCTGCCATTTTTGTTTGACCTTGACACTAGATAAGAGGTGAATGGTCAGTTTCACGCCTCAGCTTGGTGGGTGCCAGAGCCTGTCCAGATGTTGTAAAGAGAAAAAACTGACCCTGACAGAATTAGAACCTGGGCCATCCAGCCTGTTGACTGCTGCTATACCAACTAAGCCATTTCAACTCTTAATCTAGAACTGTAACTTGTATAAACCCACAGTCATGAGACAAAGACATGCAGTATAGTTGACTGTGCTTAGCAGTCAAGTGCACAGTTTCATGTGGTAAAAGAGAACATACTGCGATAAGCAAGTAGTGAGTTCTGCACTATCCAATGCAAGCTAGTGGGTGTACAAGTGTAATAGCAATAAACGAAAATAAGTTGACATCAAGATTGTGAAAACTGCAAATAACGGCTCCAGAAAACTATTTGTAAGCATGATTTATGAAAAATTTAACTTTAAATGGTTAAAATATGACTGTCTTCTCCAGCATTCTTAAGTGTGTGTTCTGCACAATGAACACCATGGATAATGGCCAGCCGAACGAGTGAAATCCTAAAGCCTGAAACTACATGTCTTCCCTTCATTGTTTTATCAAGGGCTCCACATTCAAAGGGTAACTGAAATAGTTTCTGTTTATTATCCAAGATGATCAATATGTCATATTGGCACTGAAATTAAGTATAACTTTTTTCATGGAAGGTTCAGCTACAGTAAAAATCCTGTTTTAACGCTCCTCAGTTCATGATTTTCCTTCGTTTAACAATAAATTTAAAGGATCTCAAGTCACTAATTTCATTGGTAAATTACCTCCATTTAAAATTTCCCTCAGTTTAGTGTTCATATTCACAGCTCCCAGATAAACTTTAAATGGGGGTCTCATTGTATCCACCTACATGCAAATCACTTTGCTGCATTTTCTTTCATCAGAATGCACATGAACCATAAATTACCACTTTAGGCCACTAGTTAATGGTCATCAAAGCCAGGCATCGGGAACTTGAGGGCAAAGCTGTGGACATCATTTCGCAGTTCCTGGAGCTGGCACTTGATGTCTGGATCTGAGTTCAGAATTTCTCGAAAGTCCTTCATTTTATTTCCTGCAAGTATGGAAAAGTAGCAAATATCAGACTGAAGGAAACAAACAGAACTGCAGAGTCCTATGTAGGTGCCTTACTAATATCATTAACACTTTCAGGCACAGCTGTATGACACAGATTTCCAGGCTAGTCTGTGTTCGAGAGCTGAAGCTTACATATAATAACAACACATCACTGATATGTTGGATTTTTGGACTTTATCCATTGTCCTGGTTTTTAAGATAACAAATAGAAACCAGGACGATGGATAAAGTCCAAAAACCCAACATATCAGTGTGTTATATACCATCGTCAGAATCCTATAGTAACTAACAACACATCAGTTCACAGGAACCACTACAATCACTACTGTCCACAGAGGACATAAGAGTTGAAGAGTTCTATCTTGTAGGATATAATGCCACACAGTCTGCTGAAAGTCAACCAACATTTCAAAGGAACATATCGCCTCCAACTTCAGGGCTGAAGAATAAGTCAAGCAAGAAACCAGAGTGAAACAGGTGGCAACATCAGCAAGACTTTCAGAAGACTACACCGCATTATATCCCAGAAGATAGAGCTCTTCATACCCACTGCTGTGAGAACCTCAAATGTGACATAAAAGTTGATAACAAACAGAAGTGCAAAGAGGGATGCCAAAAGATTACACATACATTTTTTAAATGCATTCTTCTGCATAATCAGTAGCCTTGGTATTTATTACGCATATAAATATATGATTGCAAAATTAGTCACATAACAGTAACACACTGCAGAAATTATATGTATTTCCCTGTATTTCACTGAACATTCACCATCCATTTTCACAAAACATTTCTGCTAAACAGGGTGACAGGTCCTGCTAGGTTAGTACAGTGTCTGGGTGTTATCTTGCATGCTATGTCAACTCAAAGGGCTCATGTGAAACAAAGGAACTGTCATGCTTTCCTTTCCTTTTGGCTATGTCACAGAACCTCTGACAAGACATGGACTGGCTGTATACAGGTTAGTAAAGCAGATCCATATGACAATAGTGGGGGAGCTAAGTGATGGAATGGCTACAGTCAGTGCTAAACTTGGTCAACCGCAGAGGCTGGAGTGTGTAAATATCACTGGGTTTGTGAGTATGGCTCCCACAACTGTTGTTGAGGTTCTGCTTAGTCTCTCACCCCTTCATTAGGTGGCAGACACTATGGCAGGAACTCTGGCTTGCAGGCTCATGGCCTGGTAGCGCCACCATTTTTACATGAGTCAGGATAAAATGGTACCAATAACTGCTTCTGCAACTCCATTCAAAGTGGAGATCCTGTTATGTGAACACTGGTTATGGACCTTGTCTATGACCTTTTGTTGCAGAGGACTGATCTGGTACACACATAGGTCACGATGGCTGGCAGGTGTATGCATGGGATAAGACCTAGGAAAGGGCTATCCTTTTCACTTGGTGTGTATGCCACAGTTTTCTACACAGCAATGTCCGCAATTTTAGCCTGTACAAAGCAGTGTACAGGAAGGGCCTACACACACTCATAAAGCCAAGCAGCTTTGTGGGCCTTAGGGTATCAAGAATGATGGCAAAGCTCATCTGAAAAAGTTGACAGCCATTATATGCCTTCTACAGTTCACATACAGGTATGCTCCTGATTCCCTGGTCACAGTGGGCTACGAGAGATCAATCAGTCCATTTCTTTGCTCAAAACCAGAAGTTTCAGTCTGACCTTGTGTTGATAGTATGCTCATAAGCAGAGGATGAAGGAGAGACACTCTGAACACTGAGATCATGCACCAGGTATGAAGCAGTTAAAGCTATTTAATGAAATGCCTTTAGAAAATCTGTCTAGGGACTTACTTCCCTCAGACAGGAAACAACGCAGGCTTGTAACACAATCGTTGGCTGGCCACTGTACACTGAAGCAGTACATACCTCTTGTGTGCCTCTCAGAATATGCCATGTGCAGGATATGTGGACAGGTAGAAAAATCATCCTACCATACATGTCTTTTGTCAATGGCTCTGAATGGTTACAGCCAATATATATCAGGAAGATTCTGGTTCCAGCATTGCATTACAGCCAAGAGCTCTTTGAAGGATCATATCAAGATTGGTAGGTGCCACAACTGACCCAGCCGCTGTCTGAGTACTAGGGTCAACTGAAAGTTGTTTCCCCCCTATGTGAATGCCAATACAGACATTTACTATCAAAAATCTGTCAAATAAATGCATGCATGGACTTAAGTGAATCAAAATTAATTAAATAAAATTCAATGTATGACAAACATTAGTGTAGCCCACAATACCAAATTTCATCAAAATCTGGAGAGAAACCTGTAATTGGGCAAGTGGGCAGAAACGGTGTCCACGTTATGCATCTATTTTATTATCTTTGTGCCAAGAACCCATAAAAATGGTAAAATTGCTCTGATGATGGCATCTCCTTGGTCTAGTGGTCAGAGTTCCTGCCTACAGATTCAGAGGTCCCGGGTTCGATTCCTGGCGCTACCAGATTTTCTGAGAAGTAGTGGGTCTGGAAAGGGTCCACTCAGCCTCATGAGGATAACTGAAGAAATATTTAAAGGAAATAGCGGCTTTGGTCTAGAAACCCAAGATTAATGGCTGTGAGGATCTACTGCGCTGACCACATGACACCCTCTCCCCACAAAAGTTGGCACTAACCTCACTGACAAGTGGCAGTTGCTCAGTTGGTATAGTTTGCTTGCGGACTACAGGCCACAGAGTTTATTTCGGTTTTGTGTTTGTTTGTTTGATGACATCTCCATGATTTAAGTAACATATCCTTCAGGTCCTGAAGTTCAACACAATTCCAAGCAGCTATCCCACCAATTAACAGATTATACCTGATTTTTCCTTTGCCTGTGCTGCAATAGCAACTCCACGATCTAGCAGTTCCACCACCTTAACAAAGTCTGGCTCTTTGAACTGTCTTGATGTCAATGCGGGTACACCTGTCAACATCCAGTCATTTTTCTCACTGTACACTGTTAATGCATCTTACCAGTATACATATTTTATTCCTGGTTACTCATGTGCAAATTACCTGGTTTGAGCTTATCTAAGCACTTTTAGGTGCATTTACAACACTGCAGAGCATATATTAACCCTTCAAAGCTCAGTGATTACTATACACACCACCTTCTTCAACACGGGAACTCTCCATTCTGCCAGTAGAATGTACTTATGTGTTTTGTTCTTAGTTCTAACAATAAGCCGTGGTTATTTCCCTAAACAGTATTAACAGTCCGAACTTTGTAGTGGACAAGTAAGGTATTTCCTGTAAAGACAAACTGAATTTTTATATTTTACCTAGAAGGTTTCAGCTTTTAAAGGGTTATGTTTGCTCAGTACTTCCACCCATCTGCACACAACACAACTCATGAATTGGCAGGCAAATTTTCATGTCATCTGATGTAGGACAATTTAATAACAATCTGCTATCAACTGTGATTTTAATTTAGAATGGACAACTGTAGAAAATACTTTACATTAAGATCTATATGCACTCCTGAGCACAATTTCTTTGTAACCTGCTAAATATTTATCAGAGTGAAAAAAAAAAATCACAAAAAAGTTGTAGAAAACATGAAAGAAACTTTGTGTTTATGCTTAACACACTTTTTCTGTATGTCTTATGGTTTTTTGGATAATTAAACAATTTGAATGCTATGCATCCATGCATGCAGATAATTCATTTTTTTAATACAAACATTCATTAGTCTTTTCCATTTCATNCATTTCATTAGCATATACACTGTACACACTGTATATAGGCAAGAGCCTTAGAGTGTGAATATCACTACCTTCATTTCACATACAGAAAATGGCAATAAGAATGTTCACAAGGGAAAAATTATATACTGTTTGCAGATTTTGATAAATTTAATATGGGACTTTATATATCATAATCCCACTCAGACAATCTAGGTTAGCACTGTATACAAAATGTATAATCAATATTTAAAAATATCTATATAGTCATAAAATTAAGGAAGTGCCACAACAAATTTATAAATATCACCTAAAAAGCTCTTAAGTTACATAATTATTCAGTATGATGAGAATTATTTCTTCAGAAAATTCTGCCTAATAGTAAAATTATGGACCATACTAAATTTGTGTTTGAGGACAGCTTACTTTTGATGCGTAACTCATATAAAAAACTGAATGCATAATGTGTGAAGGGTAGAGTTCAAAGTCTCACCAAGTCTGAGTCCACTGGGGTTAAGAGCACTACGGTCCCCAGGGCAGGCATTCTTGTTAACTGTGATGTGGCATGCATTGCACACAGTTTCCACACGTGCACCATCCAGGTCTTTGGACCGCAGATCTACTAATACAAGATGTGTGTCTGTCCCACCAGATACTAAAGTGTAGCCTCGTTCAACTAGGGCTGCAGCCATTGCCTTTGCATTGCGCAGAATCTGGCTCTGATACTCACAGAATTCAGGTGAGCATGCCTGCAAATACAGCAGATCGGTGTTTCATAACACTCACAATTTACTTTGTTCTTCAACTGAAACGGAATGTGCTAACAGTGTTCAAACTTTAGATCACCAAATTCAAGATGACAACCATCAAGACAGTTAATATCTGAAATTTTCACATTTTTGGATTGTTTTGCAACTGTCATGAAGCAGCAAGTGACAGAAGCATAACATTCCACAGTTCTTTATGAAGACTTGATATATGGCACTTCTCTGACTGCCCATGTAGCTGAACAGAAACCCCACAGACAGTACATGTTACACCTTTGTGAGATAATTCATCCACAGAAGAAGGAGGAGGAGGATAAGAAGAAAAAACAATCCATAAAATATAACTGCAAGAAATATCACTGCATACTGCAAACAAATGAGACAAAAACTAAAATTATAGGCATGTTGTAGGATAAATATTATTATGATGCACTAAACATACACTTGGTTCTAAGTAATTTCTCAAGACAACCAGCTTGCAAAATGTGCCCTAAGAAGTGGTAAAGTGAGAAATAATGTTAAGCTGCATATATCAGCATCTCACTGTGAGTGGTACCCGCTTTCTCACCTGTCTCAGGGCCACAGCAACAGACCCTATAGCATGATTATGAGGACCACCTTGCAGAGATGGGAAAACAGAATTATTGATACGACTCTCATAGTCATATCCAACGGGTTTTCCTGTCTTCTTGTCTACCGACTTTGTGCCCCTTCGGAAGAAAATCATTCCAGACCTGATACAGAAACAAGGCCTATACTACACCAACTAGGAAGAAAGCCATTAAATTTAATACAAAACTTGTAAAAACAATGTGCACAAAGCTGCTATTACACTAAGGTTATGTGCTTGACAGAATAAGGGCATGCACTAAGCAGTGATGAGGAATGTTTTTAGGACATGTTTTTAGCAAAGGATGTTTATATAAATAAACGTTACTTTCTCTTCATAATGGTCACTGTCTAGTTCACCACTAAACAACAAAGACATAGTTCCTTCAGTTACAACTTGATCAACTACAACAGTTGGTAGATGAGTAATTTGGTCCTCAGATACACAGTAAACACTGTCAGACACTTCATAAGTTCCATTAATAGCTAGTAGTTTGACACTGCCATCATCAAGTACATTTCGCAGTTCTCCCTTGTATTAATACACAACAACATGTTATTCTCAGTGCTCTTCGATGCACCTTCATTTGGCTGCTGACACTCTTTTAAAGTTCATTTTAAGCAAGCATTGAACATCTCACGTTGATTTTGTAGAAAAATCAGACACAGTGAGGACTGTTTACTTTCAAAAAAATTCTTGAATACTAAGACACTTCTTAATTAGTAAGAAATATGAGACAAGAGTTGGGTACACAACCATGATCCTTTTAACAGCAGGCAACAGAGAATTGAATTGAATTTATTTACATTCTATAAATCCTAAGCAGGTTAGTACCTTTGGATACNACAAAGTCACAAATATCTTTCAGTGTTTGAACATATGCAGCATAATTGTGGAAATACCAATATACATATGCTGCCAACAATACTATCTATGTCCATCAGTAAAAATACTCCTGCTGTCTTCACAGCATCATGCACTATATGTGATGCACAGTCCAGACCAGTAATGTGTTTCTATTTTATTTCTGAGCCTTTCACACACATTATTTTTCCCTCTTCTTTTTGCCCCGCTGAAGTTCACATTAGTGTTATATGGCAAGAGTGATGCTATTTTATATATTAGTTCAGCTTCTTACATAACATGCACAATACAAGTACGCTCAGTTAACTGTGCAGAAGATTCTCCAGAGAAGTCTGTGAACTTGAGAATTCTCATTTTTACTCCTTGCTCTGGGACAAAGTAGTGTACCAAAATGGGAAAAAGTTTACTGTCTCTGTGATTAGATGAATCAATCATTGTGGAAATATTCATGGCATCTCCAACCTCTTCTATGATTCACGCTTTGTGGGGCAGGGACATGTACAACAGTAACTTGAATTCTGGTTTATGCACATGTGAACTTTGGTTCAAATAGCTTTCAAATTACTGTTGAGGTACAGTCCATCAACTGGGAATTTTGATTGTGAGCAACAGTATGGGAAGTGAATGTTCATTCTCATGCTGCAAAATCCAATTCTTAATTGCCAAAAGTTTTTCAGATATGAAAAAACAAATCAGCTTCTTGTAAGATTTGAGGCTTTCACAGCGGTGACTATGAAGAAAGTCGTCTTCTGGGTTTAGGCACCATGTATTCTTCGTTTTGGCCGATGTTTGGGAGGAACGTATCGCCTCCATCTTCAGAGCAGGTGAATGGCTTGGAAAGCAGAGAGCAGTACAGCTACTGCTGCCAAAACGAAGAATACACGGCACCTAAACCCAAAAGACGACTTTCTTCAAAGACTATACTACTTCAGAGAAAAGAGATATGAATGAGAACTCCGTGTTGAACTTTATTCAATAGAGGGGTATGTGAAGCAAACAGTTGAATTCATTAATCATGGTGAAAAGAATGTGCAATAGTGGACTTGCTGAGAGTGCAAACATGCAGTCTCATTGCTGATATATTTTAATTGTTACAATATATGTATCTCTGCACTTGAAATACGTAGCAATTTTGAAAATGAAAGCTCTATGCTGAAGCTATTTTTAAAGAACATACTGTAACATTTTAATTTTATGGGGAGACTGAAGAGAATATGAAGGACATATGGAAGATATTATCAAGATATGAATCCATGTAATATACATGTGTCCATTAACAGTGCTGGTTAATTAAAAAGCAGGACAGAACAAAAAGGTTCATAAATGATATGAAGGAGGTGTTTTACCAGGAAACAAAGGCACTTTTTCATAACAGACTGTAGGGGTTTTAATAACTGTCATATTTACCAGAGTTTTACCACACAAAGGTGGAAGGACAGGATGATCATCTCTTGCTCTGACCTCTCCCAGGTGATGACAACAAAACCACAACAAATCACTCCTGTCATATTATTTTTTACAGTGGTAATATCAAATGTCATAGTGAAGTTATATGTACTAAAACTCAGAGCAACTTGGATTCTGCCTGTTAATGTATTGCAAATTTTTCTAAAGCAGTATCAAATGATGTGCATCCTACCATAACGAGGCACCACAGCCCCCAGAATCTGGTCACCTGGGATCCCTACCTTATGCATGCATGGAAACAGGAACCCTCCAAGAGTATACACATGAACACATTAAATACCTCCCTCCACGCAGTGTCTTGTGTGTTGTAGTGGTGACAATGTCTGCATACTCAAATGGAGATGGGATGACCTGTGCAGCCACAAGACCTGAGATGTGTGCCATGTCTGCCAACAACACAGCTTTCACTTCATCACAGATCTATAACATGGAATTCAAAACAGCCTATGTGTCTTGTTCCAGTGACAACAGTACTCCTCCAGCATCCATATACAGTGGAGATTCCCAAGCTCAGGTTCTCAGTAGGGTCATGATGAACCACAAGAAGTACAGAAAAAGGTTCAGGAAGAGTGTCTGGGGTTCTGCTGGAGGACAATTCAGGGTTTCAGCAAGAAAATATGAGGAACCACAGAGCTAGAGGAAATACAACAACAGAACTGCAGACACCTGACTAATAAAGCAGACTTAGGTTTAATTTGCAAAAAAATAACTCAACAGGTTGATAGCTCGCAATGAAGATGAAATGATGGTAGACAATTTTATCCAAACTTTTCACTCCACTACAACCTACTTGACAATCCATGATATGTATATAGTTGCCGTCTTGTAGTGCACTCAATTTCACACACACATCCAACATTACAACACTCGCAGCTAAGAAGGGAACACACATCACAAGACACGGTTTACAAAGAATGTAAGAAAAATGATCCCCATAGTGGAAAAACCACACACAAGTTTGAATTATGACACATAAGATGAATAATCTTAACAAGTTTTAGTGTGTGTAAATTTATTATAGTTGACATATACGCACTTTTTAAATACATTTGAAATAATTTTATAAAGGCAAGCAATGAAATAGATTAGCGTAATTAGGGCACCTGATGATGGCACTATGTTGCCGAAACATGTCGTGAAGTAACAGGTGAAANNATCATGGTTAAAAGAATGTGCAATAGTGGACTTGCTGAGAGTGCAAACATGCAGTCTCATTGCTGATATATTTTAATTGTTACATTATATGTATCTCTGCACTTGAAATACGTAGCAATTTTGAAAATGAAAGTTCTATGCTGAAGCTATTTTTAAAGAACATACTGTAACATTTTAATTTTATGGGGAGACTGAAGAGAATATGAAGGACATATGGAAGATATTATCAAGATATGAATTCATGTAATATACATGTGTCCATTAACAGTGCTGGTTAATTAAAAAGCAGGACAGAACAAAAAGGTTCATAAATGATATGAAGGAGGTGTTTTACCAGGAAACAAAGACACTTTTTCATAACACACTGTAAGCGTTTTAATATCTGTCATATTTACCAGAGTTGTACCACACAAAGGTGGAAGGACAGGATGATCATCTCTTGCTCTGACCTCTCCCAGGTGATGACAACAAAACCACAATAATCACTCCTGTCATATTATTTTTTACAGTGGTAATATCAAATGTCATAGTGAAGTTATATGTACTAAAACTCAGAGCAACTTGGATTCTGCCTGTTAATGTATTGCAAATTTTTCTAAAGTAGTATCAAATGACGTGCATCCTACCATACCGAGGCACCACAGGCCCCAGAATCTGGTCACCTGGGATCCCTACCTTATGCATGCATGGAAACAGGAACCCTCCAAGAGTATACACATGAACACATTAAATACCTCCCTCCACGCAGTGTCTTGTGTGTTGTAGTGGTGACAATGTCTGCATACTCAAATGGAGATGGGATGACCTGTGCAGCCACAAGACCTGAGATGTGTGCCATGTCTGCCAACAACACAGCTTTCACTTCATCACAGATCTATAACATGGAATTCAAAACAGCCTATGTGTCTTGCTCCAGTGACAACAGTACTCCTCCAGCATCCACATACAGTGGAGATTCCCAAGCTCAGGTTCTCAGTAGGGTCGTGATGAACCACAAGAAGTACAGAAAAAGGTTCAGGAAGAGTGTCTGGGGTTCTGCTGGAGGACAATTCAGGGTTTCACCAAGAAAATATGAGGAACCACAGAGCTAGAGGAAATACAACAACAGAACTACAGACACCTGACTAATAAAGCAGACTTAGGTTTAATTTGCAAAAAATAACTCAACAGGTTGATAGCTCGCATGAAGATGAAATGATGGCAGACAATTGTATACAAACTTTTCAATCCACTATAACTGACTTGACAATCCATGATATGTATACAGTTGCCGTCTTGTAGTGCACTCAATTTCACACACACATCCAACATTACAACACTCACAGCTAAGAAGGGAACGCACATCACAAGACACGGTTTACAAAGAATGTAAGAAAAATGATCCCCATAGTGGAAAAACCACACACAAGTTTGAATTATGACACATAAGATGAATAATCTTAACAAGTTTTAGTGTGTGTAAATTTATTATAGTTGACATATACGCACTTTTTAAATACATTTGAAATAATTTTATAAAGGCAAGCAATGAAATAGATTAGTGTAATTAGGGCACCTGATGATGGCACTATGTTGCCGAAACATGTCGTGAAGTAACAGGTGAAACTGAGTGCACTACAAGATGACAGGTGTATATATATCATGGATGAAAATCAGTGCAACAGGATGCTAAAATACAACACTACTTGACAATGTTTGCAAATTACAACATTTCACATTTTTTCTAATAAAATACAAGTACTGAGGTTTTCATGTCAGTAACTGTGGTTTCTGGGGTATGACAACAAACATTCTTGTAAGTGGATCCTGAAGTACTGAATTAATATGATGCCTCCTCTGCAGGCTTAACCGCTTCCCCATTTCTTGATAGTCTTAGGGTTCACATATTTCTGTTTCTTAATGGTGGACTCCAATATCTGAGTGAGAGGAGGGAAGACAAGTGAAGGAGGGGAAAGCAAGAACATGGGCCCAAATATTGGTAGCAAAAGGAAATGAAGAGAGAGCATAGCTACAGATGTTGGGAAATATAAACAATTAATTACAAATAATTATTATTAACTGATAATTATGCCTACACGAGATCTTTACTGGTTACTGTGCAAGGGCAGTTATTGAAAACAATACAGTGGAGTCTTCTTAAGCAGGAAAATGTTTAAAGAGATAGTCTTCATAATGCTTACAAATTTAACTTTATCCTACACAGAACACTAACGGACTAATCAAGGATTTTGTTTATACCTACAATTTAAAATAACATTTTACTGAAAAGAACACAATAATATTATATCCATGTATATACAGGATGTAAATAAATATATGTTACAATGCTCTGTAGCAGGTATATGGGTTCAATCTGATCATATTTTGTTATTACACCCTTGTCCGGAAATGTTTCCTTTTGGCACTAAGTGCCACAAAAGTTTCTGAAATGATGCATAAGTTTGAGGGGATGTTATCATTGTTTTACATTATAAAAGTTGCTCAAAATGGCGGCTGCTGACTTCACTGCATGTTCTGCACCGCCTGGCCATGTTATGCTTGACTCTTTGAAAGATTCCCAGCATTTCCTGGATGGTTCCAGCTGCTACTGCAATTCTTGCCACAAGATCATGCTGTCTCCACTGGAGTTTCATACACCAGGCTTTGCATGTACCCCCAGAGAAAGAAATCCAATTGAGTCAAGTCAGAGTAGCGAGGGGGCCAGGTTATTGGGCATCCACGTCCAATCCATCTGTTGCCAAAATTTCATCCAAATACTCGCGGACAATATTAGTGCAGTGTGCCATCATGTTGGGACCACATTCATGGAGGACTTCCAAAGGCACGACTTCCAGCAGCTTGGGTAAGGTCTCCGAGAGAAATTTTAGGTAAATGTCACCAGTAAGCCACAGAGGTAAGGGGTAAGGGAGTCCTCCTTCACATTTCAGAGGCCCTAGTGTGTAAAGAAAGCGTTTCCAGACATGGGTGTATTAACAAAAGATGATCAGATTGAACCCATCTATCTATCACAGAGGGTTCTAACATACTGTCACGTATAAGGGATATGTGTGTGATGAAATGACAGTTTCTAGTTTGGATGACAGGATTTATTAACAGCTTGGTTACACACTCTCTCTTAATTACATTCAAATACATGCAATACACCACTGTCACTGATTTACACACTTTCCAGTTGACTGCTGCACACTCACTATAATTCTCTGTCTTCCACTAGCTGTCTCCTAGCAGCGGATCTCCACACAAAAACTGTCACTTCAAATCACTCCAAATATTGCACATAATTGAGGTCTTTAATCATCCTTTAAATCTTCACAGGTCTTCTATGAACTTTCCGTTGCCGTCACTTAACCACATTCAAATACTCCCAAATACTCTCCAAATACTGTCATCTGTTCTGTCTGTAACTGTCATTGTATAGCTTCTGCAGTGAGCATGCTGAAAACAGCCTATATTGTTGGAACATGTTTACCGAGCAATTTCATAGCATCAGTCACAGCATGGACTTCATAGAAAACCAGTTATGTGATAGTTACCACTGTTGCATGACATCACAGCCTAGCATGTAAGGGTGTTTACTGAGCATTGCGTAGCAACAGGCTGGGTGGGGGTATGTGTAGTCACTTGCGGAAATGCAGAGGTCACGTGACCCCCACTTATTGTTGCACAATCCAAGCGTTCACAGAGCTGTCACCTAACAATGCACTGACACAATCCACAACTCTCCCATTGTGCATGTGACCCAAGGCATCTGTGGCTCAGTAGTTCCTACATAGAGCAAATACACCACAATACATTTATTCACACCCTGTATAATGCACACACATCTCCGAAGCTTCTACTTTAGGACACATCTATGGTCACCATACATTTTCTAAATCAATCAATCCATCCATTTAAGGGTGTGAACTAAATATTTAGTTTTAAGGTTATTTCTTCAGTCATCCTGCTGTCTCAACATATGACCTTGAATTGCTACATTTAATTCCCATTTCTGTTTACACCTCTTCAAGAGTACCGATTCATTCTTCTTGCCTTTTAGTAGTTTTCAGCTTTCTTCTGCCTGAATGAAAAGTAATATATTGTGAAGTGGATGGCGCAACGGTAAGTAGGGGTCATGTGAACTCCATGGTTTCGCGAGTGATGTCACATACCTCCACCCCTTCCATTATCACGCAACGCTCGGTAAACACCCCCTCCCCCACAGTGACATAACAGAGGAGCAACTGTGTCAGGCAATCATTGCCGCGGTGTTGTCACCAAGGGATACCATGGTTACTACCAAGCTGTAAACAATTCCCGACAGCATTGCTAGCAACACTTGTAAACACAGCGTCCAGCAACAGTGGTACCTATCACGTAACTGTTTTCTGTGTTGTCCATGCTGAGGCTAAATATGGAGCAGCGAACACTATTCAGTAGTAGTGAGTGATTAATGAGTGTGGAGTGAACCAGTTACTAGAGAGAGAATAACCAGTTAGTTGAAATATAGCAGCCGCTGAAGACAGTTGCAAGTCTAGCATTCGCTGGAGTGAATGGAAACAGTGGAAGTAATTGTGATACTGCTGATGGCAGTAATTGTGAGATTGTAAATTGTGTGATTGTAAGAGTGAACGTGCAATAAATTTGCTATATCCAATACAGCGTAAAGTTACTTGTCGCGTGTTATACACAAAACATGTGACAGTATTATTAAAGTAGATTTTTCTTGTTCACCATAATATTATATGTGAAATTCCCCTGCCCCCTCTTCTCTCAATTTACTTATTCGAGCCGTGAAGTCGGGAGAGGCAGCCCATCATCGCTGGCTCTATTGCTGTGTTCACAAGCTTCCCAAGATATTCTTGGGGTATCCAAGCAATTATGAAGAAGCTACAGTGATACGTCGGCCTTTCAGATAACAATAACAAAGTTTAATGACAACATAACAGACTTACACAAACTATACAAAAAATACATGATCAAAGCACAAACGAGGCAGAACAACCCAAATCCATAATTGAACACAATTTAGAGGTACCAGGTTGAAACAGAATTTCCAGTAGCGATCCCCGCTAGCTGGTAAGGATCCTATCTGAACTACGTAGCATCACCAACTGTGAAGCAGGTCTCGTCTCCTTCCAAGATATCCAGAAGAGGGATAGGTCACATGATACATAGGCAATCACAAGGATAATACATCACATATGGGGGTGAAGATGGAATATAGGAATGGCAGACGCCATGACGTCATGCACAAGAGCCAGCCGACCTTCAGCATGACTCAGATGTTCAAATATAATCAATTCCTTTTCTTATGAAGCTTGACTTTCATGGGGAAATACAACAGCCAATCACAACAGATGGTTGGGATAGCCTTCAGTTGAGGCCCTCACATGTCGTTTGGCAGTGGTATGAGATGCTTCTGTCCTGCATAGTTCAATGCAGTGCAGCACTGTAACATTTACCATTCAGCCAAAGAATATGAGAGATTTGGAAAATGCTAAACAGACAGTATGTATACATGGCAGAAGAATCACATGCAGAGCATGACAAAATGCGGAGGACAAACAAGAGAACTAAGACAAAGAGCTAGGTAATATCTCTACTGATTTCTGTGGTTACATGGCAATGCTTGTTGGT